AGAAACCAGTTAGGCTACTGTGGTAGAGGCCAGAGATCATGTTGACTTGGACTTAGAGATGGTTAATCAAGTGGGAAGAGTCAAAATATACTTAGGAGGTGGAGCTGACAGAACTTGTTAAAGATTTAGTTATGAGTTGTGAGGAAAAGACAAGAATCAAGAATGATTCCTAGGAACTTAGTTTTGAACAATTGGGTGAATGCTGCAGCAGATTTAAAGATTTTGTTTGGGGACATTTGAAACCTCTATCAAAACAGTTAAGTGACATTCAACATTAAGGCATTAGACACATGAATCTGGAATTCGGGAGTGTCAGGTCAGAGCTGGAGATAAGAATTTGGGAGTCAGGAGCATATGGATAGTACTTAAAACCATTGTGGTGGGTTGAATAACGGTCCTCCAAATGTCATGGAAACCAAAGAGCTTCAAGATAAGAAGAGTGGTCAACTGTGTTGAATGCTGCTGAGAAGCCGATTAAGAGGTTGAAGAAATGGCCATTGCATTAGGCAAGATAGAGGTTGTTTGACCTTGTCTAGAGCAGTTCCAGTGGAGTGGGAGATTTAGGAAGGTTCTTAAGATTAATTTAAGAGAGAGTGGGAAATGAAGACATGGCAATTGTGAATCCAGACAACTTGTTTGAGAAGTTTCTTGAGAAGAACAACGGAGAAATGAAGCAGGATTTGTAGCCAGGAGAGTTTTGTGTTTATTTTATTTTTAAAATGGGAGATAGTAGTGCGCATTTGTATGCCAGTGGGAAAGATCCAGTGGAAAAGGAAGAAATGGTGCAACATAGAGAGTGAATAAGCATAGGATCCTTAATGAGGAAAGAAAGGTCTACTTGGCCTGGCCTTGAATAGGAGCAGAGTCTTTTTCCACTGTTACGGAAGAAAGGCAGAGACTACGGGAGACATGCAGTCAGGCTGATGGATTTGCTGACATAGAGATGACACAGTTTCTATCTGATTGCTTCCACTTTCTCATTAAAGTAAGAAGAGAGATAAAAGACTTACTAGAGACTGAAGTTGGGAACCTAGAGTGAGACTAATCAGCATGTTTGTGCAATTTTCTCCTGCAAAGTTCAAAGCAGGTATTGAGTAGGGGAAGAGTTGTAATAATCATTACTGGGGTTTTGTCTGCCAAGAATGAAAAAGGGGCAAGGAACATACGTGTGTTTGCAAGAGACTGTCAGGATAGTGGAGTCTGAGAGTGAAGTGATGAGAGGAGGGAAGAGGCCACATAAAAGGGATAATGGATAATAATATAACGGAAACCCTATATGATGGTTACTGGTACTAGGCACTATTTTTAGCTTATTACATATAACAACATGTAATCTTACAACTACACTGGACAGTGAAAAGTGTTGTGCTCATGGATTAGAAGTCTCCCATGAGGTCAAAGAATCATTGGGGTGGAAATATTTGAATCAATGAACCTGGGGGTTAGGTAGACAGACTGATTTGGGCATAAATTGACCTCTGTCTTATAACTTTGTGACTACACGAAAAGCATTCACCTCTTTGACTTTCTGTGGCATAATCCAATAACAACCTCCCCTTTTCTTTTTTTAGCCAGTTGTGTTTTTGTTACCTGCAACCAAAGGTCCTGACAAACACAGGAAAGAGTGCTGCAGTATGTGGCAGACAGTGAATGCTCTACAATTACTAGCTCTCATCTCTTTCCTCTTCCAGCATTGACTGCCCAAAGGCAGCAGATGTCTCTTGTATCATTCCAAGAGCTTGACCTTGTGCTGGGCACAGTAGAGATGTGCTCTGAGAATACAGTTGTTCTCCATCACAAAAAGGTTAAAACTCAAGCTCCCAAACAAGACCTTCCTTGACATGTCACCTGCCATTATATCCAGCCCAGTCTCCTGACCTTTCTCCTTTCTCAAAATTGGCCCTCTAGCTACTAGAGTCTTCCAGAAGAGACTAGGCATTCTGCAATTTGTAACCCCTTGCACATGCTGTTTTCTCTGAACTTATCACTCTCAAACTCCCCATGAGCTTTTCCTGCTCCAGAAAACCATCCCTGACTTCTCAGCCAGATGTGGGTGAGGGTTTCTGGTTCTCACTGCACTTCACAGTACCTACATGATGGCAGCTGCCACACAGAATTGGACGGTTTCCTTGAGTGCCTGTCCCACCTGAGGATGATGTGGCAGGTCCCTAAAGTGCATTCCTTCCTACCAAGGACAAGGCGCATCAGGCTATGGTCCATACTCAGCTCCTGTGATGTCTTCATCTTCACCTCTCTCTGTGGTAAGCCTCGCTAGGCTGCTCCAGCTGTACTGAATTTCTTTTACTTCCCTAACAACCATGCTAGGTCTACCTCTAGGCCCTTTACTCACTCTCTTCTCCAACACTCTTCAAACCCATGTAACTTGTCTGTTCTTGCTCACCCTTCAAGACTCTATTTAGATTATGCCTCCTCTGGGCAGCTTTTCTGGCACAATCTTCCCTACTGCAGGTCAGGTTATGGACTTATCCTGTGTTACCACAGGCCCTGTGTACCCCATCATAACTCTGCCATCATCATTGTCCTGTCATGGCCTGTTCTCTTAGCTGCCTCTAGCAATCATTGAGACCCTTCAGACTTCAGAGGTCTGTTCAAAATCTGTTTCCACTGCCTACCATTAGGCAGTAGTTATTAAATATTTCTCAAATGAATGACAAGATAGAGATTCTGGCTCTTTGGAATTGAAGGTCAGACTCAGGGTTGTGGTGACCCCACCCAGGTTCTAACTCCCAAAAGGCTTGGTGTGGGGCAGCCAGTTGCCACCTCTTCCATAACTTTAAGGGGGTGAAAAGATGCTCCCATGAGGGAAGGTGTTTGGCTCATAACTGTCATTTGCCACGAGTACTCAGAGGACCTGTTGTACATGAAAGCACTTTAAAATGTCATTTGTAAGCCTCACAACAACTGCTGAGATAGTTGTTATTTTCCTCTATTTAACAGATGGAGAACCTGAGACTCAGAGAAGTGGAATGCTTTGCTTTAGGTCACACAGCTGTCAAATACTCAAATCCCCTTTTCGAGGTCCTTACAGAATTTCTGCAAAGATGGGAGGTGGTAAAGACTTTCCCTTTGTGCTTTGAGACAGGTCCTTTGTACCATAGTGCCGTAGGTGCCAAACACCTGCCTTAGAAATGCGTTTCCATGAGACCTGTCCCACTGTCTGCCCAGCTCTGACATATTGTTTCTCTGACTCCCAGAGCTCTGCAAGACCAATCATACCACATAGACCATAACTACCTTTGAGCTAGCTTAACTCTGGGAAAGTTCAGAGGGGATTAATTATCACACAATGAGTGACCCCACATGCCAGGCTTTGTGCCTGGCACCTAATATCCAATCAGTAATCACAATAACTATTGCTTTGTGTTGCTTCCCCCCCCCCTCGGATTTGTCACCCCTGGGTGACGGAGATGCAAAGGATTACTCAAAGCCCATCTCTTCTGAGCAGCGAGAGGCCCCGAAGTGGTTAATTTCCCTGGGAATGCTCCCTCCAGCGAGAGGCAACGCTTCCTTGGGAAATTAACCCTGAATTGGGGTTCTCTTTCTGCATTTATTTTCCAGACCAGGAAGTTACAGGAAGAGAACAAAGGTGGGGTTATAGCTTAACAATATAGGCTGGTAACTTTCAGTGAAACAAGCCAGAGGACATTCCAGTAGAGCTATCAACAAAAGCTTGATCTTAGCAAACATTCCTTCTTACAGCAATTTCTCAGTATCTTTACATAACAATCAGTAACTAGTCTGTCTTTGAGCCAGCAACCTGCTGTGCCACAATCCTTATCTTGCAACAGAGACTTATAGCCTGAAGGAAATTTCCAGTCCTCCGCAAGGTCAATATTTGAAACTGCAAGGCTTTGGAAAACCAGGCTCTGCAAAGTACATATGCTTTTTAGTATATTACACAAATAACCGTGTCCACTGTCTCTGGAGCAGATAAAAAGGCTGGAGTGCTGGGGAATGGAAAGAAGTCAGGACTAGGAGGAGGCAGGGTCTGGGTTCAAATCCTGGAGGTAGAGGAGTGTTTAGCCCTAACTTGGGGCCAAAGTAACCCTGAGCTAGTACCTTAGCCATCTAAGAAAACGAGATTGACAACACAGATGATCTGTAAGCTCCCTGAAACAGGCCTGCATGAGAGATTCTCTTCTTTCCCCGTCCCTGACGCACCACTATACCAGGAATCAGCCTGACCCAGGAAGTGGCGACGTCCTGCTCAGCCAGGGGCTGCCCCTCAGTTCCCCGCCTTAAAGGCCAATTCAGCCCCTAACTCGGCCAATGGTTCAGAGGCCATTGAGCTCCCCAGGAAGTGGGCGACAGGTCATTCCAGGACGAGGGAGAGGAGGCACCAGGAGACTACAACTCCCGCGAGGCCATGGGGTGCCACCCGAAGGCTGAGCCTGGTGCATGCTGGGAGAAGGGGCCTCTCCGCCGCGCTTCGTTACGATGGCTAAGCCAGGTAACCCACACGCATGCTCAGTCACGGCCCAACTACTTCGGCTTCTTTCCATCATGCAGGCCTTTTCTCTTTCCGGTCTTGATGAGGCGCGTTTTTTCCCCGCCCATTTTCAGGCAGTCGGGGAGCGGGGCCTCTCGCAAGCGCGTTCCCAGGGGTGTGTACACGCGCGTTCACGAGAGATTCAAAAGGGAGGGACTAAACACTGGGTGTGGAAGACAAAAAGTGTAGGAGACCGCGGGGAACGGAAGGCGCATGCGTCCCAGTGGTGCACTGGGTCCCGGAGCTGCGGAGGGGCGGGCGGAAATGGACCGCTGGGCTGACGCGCGCGCATTGGGCCGCCAGCGCCACGCCTCCTGCTGCAGGTTTCCCCTCCTCCCTCGCCACCCTCCCGGAAGTGGAGCCGCCCTCGCGCCCACCAGCGGCCACCCCCTGTGGCAGGCCCCGCCCAGTGGCCCCGCCCCCAGCTCTCCGCCCCCTCCGCTGGTGGTGGCGCTGGGTTGCAGTCCCGGTTGTGGCGGTTTTGGTGCCCGAAGCCGGGAGCGCCGAGTCGTTCCCAAAAGAGGCGGCCAGGCTATGATCGCCGGTCTCCGGCGTCCCGCTCCCGTCAGCCAGCGTTCCCGTCTCAGCCTGTGCCCGTGCCCGAGCCGTCTCCCCAGCCCGGCCCCGCGGCGCGGCTGGCTTCGGCGCCCCTGGCGCGCCCCCTCCTCCGATGGCGGCGGAGATTCAGCCCAAGCCGCTGACCCGCAAGCCGATCCTCCTGCAGCGGGTCGAGGGGTCTCAGGAGGTGGTGAATATGGCGGTGATTGTGCCCAAGGAGGAGGGCGTCATCAGCGTCTCGGAGGACAGGTACGGACTGCTGCCCCTCCGCCGCGAGGAGGGACGGGCCGGCGGTCCCCGAGCCCGCGTCGGGGACTGTGCCTTCAGGTCGGCGCGAGTGTAGAAGTGCTTCCCCAGGTTTCATTATAGCGCGCATCCCGGTGGTGCCTGTGTCCAGCTGCGCGGCTCCGGGAAGCGGAGTCCGAGCGGCGGCGTGCGCTCCGGCCTCGCCCGTGGCCGGGTAGCCCTCAGGCTAACGGTGCGCGGGCCACTGGACCTTGGTCCAGCCCCGAGGCCGGGAGGGTGGAGAGGGAGGAACCGCCCGGCCCTGCAGGTGTGTGCGTGGGGAGGATGCTCCGAGCCGCCTCTGCAAGATAACTAAGGTTTTTTGGATGCTCTCTGGTACAGTTCTTACGGCTTCAAACTAGAAGGCAAATTCCACTCCCTTCTCCCAGACATTCCCACCGAATCTGGATACCGGACACTGAATTCAATGAATATTCAAAGTTGAAAAGAGTAACTTTGGGCTTCTGCGTGATGCCTTCTTTACTTTCTCCTTTTTTATCTCTTGGAGCTGAAGGAGAAGCGCCTAGAACTTGCAAAGGACCCCTGCTGCAAATAGCTCTTAAGTTCCTTCCCTTTGCTTGCTTCCTTTCTTTTTGCCTAATTTTGCTTAATTTGCAGAAGTGGAGCCAGTTGTTCTGCCTTCAATATTCTCCTTGTTTTTGCGTTTTCGCTTTAACTTAATGTCCTTTAATATGCAGAAATAAGGCTGACAAAGCTACTTTCCAGAGGACTGCTGCTTGAATATAGTAGTTACGGTCATTTATCTGGAATTGTTACTTTGATAATATCTACAAGCATTCTAAAAAAATGTAACACTGGAGAGGTACATGACAAGGGGCTTTTACTTTAGAACAGTAGTTAGCTTTTCTTAAAGTAAATTCAAATCATGCTGAGGTAGAGAATATTTTTCCTTGGTGACTCCTAAAATTGCAGAGATAAAGCAACAAAGTATTCATTGTTGTCTTTATAGTAATTTCAGCAGTTTGCATATAGTGTGGCCTGAAAAATTTTGCTTGATAAGTCTCTTCATATCTTAGATTTTTCAGTATAACTGGGAAGAGTATACTAATGACATGTTCGTGTCTACAGCACACTCTATTCAAATGGCGCCTGATTGATTTCCCATGCAGATCCGATGGAAAACGTTGTAAACATAAACCAATGGCAAGTAGTCTGCAATGAACAGAAGAAATTCACTGCAGAATGGAATACATGGTGGTAGGAGCATTTTGAAATTCACAAAGAAGACTTATGAGAGTGTTTAATTTTTCCATAGAGGCATAATTCTATTAAAAGAGACTGGTTCTGGACCTAGAAATTCTTTTCTTTCTTTCTTTTTTTTTTAAAAGATGACCGGTAAGGGGATCTTAACCCTTGGTTTGGTGTTGTCAGCACCATGCTCTCCCAAGTGAGCCAACCGGCCATCCTTATATAGGGATCTGAACCCGTGGCCTTGGTGTTGTCAGCATCACACTCTCACAAGTGAGCCATGGGCCGGAGCCCCTGGACCTAGAATTCTTTGTCATAGAATTGTTTTTGTGGAATATATTCCATAAAATACATTGAAGGAGTATATTGATAGACATCATTTTCCCAGTCTTTAGTTACTAGAAATGAAACTGATTGATTCTTAACTGCTGTAGGAAATTCATGAGTTCACTGAATCAATTAAGAGAAGGAGAAAGGTACTTAAACCTAAGCTCCTTTAATGTTAATTTTGAAACTTCTGATTCCTATTCCATTGCATTTACCTTGAAAGAAACATGGGGTATATTTCCAAGTGGAGAAGCTGAAGTATATACATGAAAGAAACTGAAGAATAAATTTCATTTGATTATAGGTCAAAAGAAAGGCAATGTTTAGCTATATCTTAGCTTAATTTTCACTTTCCTAGCTTACAGTATAAATAATAGAAAACAATTTTTTAATCACAGAGTCACTGTTAAATAGATAAGGTGCACACATTAAGTCCAAGATTATTCTTTACATTTATTTTATTATTACTCAAATTGGCAAGTTTGTGCTGCTTTGGGTCATATACTCAAACATGAAAATAACTTTATTTAGAGCTCAGTTTCAGTTGTAATTTTCATTAAAAGAAAATTGATCTGTATTCTTGCTTTTCAAAATCTGATATTAATGTCACTTGATATAATGCTAAAGATATGAAAATAGAATATTGATTTTCATCAAAACCTACAAAGCCATTACCATTAACTGATTCAGCTAGAAATTAGTCATTTTCATTCCTGAACTGTATAGTTAAACTACAAATAATGTCCCATACCTGAATGTCAGTGTCCCATAAGTTCTTATGAAACCCTGGTTTGTCTTTTTGACTTGTGATTCCTTATAGCCTTTATCTGTACCTTTTAAAACACTTAACATTTTCTATTTTAAACAGTGTCATATGTACTTCATAACCATTTTATCTTCTTTTCTGTGAGTTCCCTGTGGAGCTTTGTGTGTCTTATTCATTGTAGTATTTTTAGGGCCTAATATAGTGCTTGGTACACAGTATGCCCCCAGTAAACATTTGTTGTATCAGTGACTGATCTTTTTTATTTGTTTGTTTTTGCTATTTACGAAAACACAGCATCTTACCTATTGTAGACATTTAATTGATATTTGTTGAATGAATTTTATGATGACCTATGAAAGGCTTATTTGGACATATGTACACTTGTGTGAAACGTATTGGACTGGGTGCCTTAAAACTCTGAAAGTCCATGCACTGCTTCATTCCATCAACAAACATTTGCGTTCCTCTTGTGTTCCAGTCACATGTGTACATGACAATGATAAAAATGACAGGTACTTTCAAGATACTCACCCTTTAGAGGGAGGACATTTTAGAAGAATAGTTCTCAATGAAACAAAGTTACTACCTCCAAGATTTGATAGTGAAAAGAGAATTTTTATTTATTTATTATTGTTTTCTTTAAAAAGATGACCGGTAAGGGGATCTTAACCCTTGACTTGGTGTTGTCACCACCACGCTCTCCCAAGTGAGCCACAGGCCGGCCCTAAAAGAGAATTTTTATTTATTTATTATTGTTTTCTTTAAAAAGATGACCGGTAAGGGGATCTTAACCCTTGACTTGGTGTTGTCACCACCACGCTCTCCCAAGTGAGCCACAGGCCGGCCCTAAAAGAGAATTTTTAGATAGGGAAGAATGGCTGGATTTCTTGTCTTTATTGTCCCCTAAATTTTATTTTCCTTTGGAGGATTCTTTCACTTGGATTACCATTTTCACCCTCTAACTGCCCTCACTAATAGCTGATAATACTCAAATCTTCAAGCCCAAGAATGAATAAAAACCCTTGCCTTCAAGTTCATCTTAGCACAGTGAAGACAGTCTAGAACTTTATTTGATACCAAAGATAGGAGGAAATATAAGGGAATATAAGAAATATAAAAACAGTCTGATTTACAAGTAGAGATTTCTGGTTCTACCATAATGCAGAGCCTGTTCCTGGAACTCACCAGCCTTGTCTGAGTCTATCTTCTCTTTGGTTGTAACTAGGTTCTGTTATCTCCCAAAGACACAGCAAACATTGGTGCTTTGGATTCCTCATTTCTCAGCTTCTTTTTGGACTTTTTTTTTTTTTCCTTTTTTCGTGTCCGTCAACGGATCGCAACCCTCAGTGTCGCGCCCGTACCGGACCAGGACCGGCAACGGGATCGCAACCCTCGGTGTTGCGCCCGCACCTCGCTCAGCCAGTGAGTGGGAACCGGTCTGTATGTGGGATCCGAACCCTCGGCGGGAGCGCCGCCGCGCTCCCAAGCGGCGCACTGTAGCAGTGCGCCACTGGGCTGGCCCCTTTTTGGACTTTTTTCTGTGTGAATGCCATTTTAACATTCCTTGCTTAAGAGCTTCATCTCATACATCTCTCCTCTGTTTTGATCAAGTCTGCAGCTTGACCACATATCTAGTTTGCAGCTTACCAGGGACTCCTTTGTTTAGTGGCAGCCTCTTCAAGCGATTAAAGCCAGGAGGGAACTTCTCCAGGTGGGACCTTCTCCAGGTGGGACCCAGCCCCCTCGGGACCTTTATCTTCATAAATTCTTTGTATGCATATCTTAATACAAGTCAGCAATCTTAGCATTCACCCAGAGTGTTTCAGCAACTAGGTAGTTTCTATTAGGCAGTTACCGGAAATTGTTCCCTCCTCAGAAGTCAAGACAGTCTGCTGAAGACAGGTACAAACATCGTCCTTTTGGGTTGCCAAGGAATTTCCTCTGCTTGTGGTGTTTAAGGAAGACCAATGGTCTCTTCTCCAGATGGGTCTTGCAGGAAGAGTAGGAGTTTATGTGAAAAAGCTAAGTTAGAGGAAAGGGCTTTCTAGGTAGGGGAGAAAGAAAACTCCCATTCATTGAGAATCACTAGAATGACCTGGTTAAGGGTCTAGACTCTGGAGCCAGTCACTTGAGTTCAGAAGTCAGCTCTGAGTGTTGTCACACTTTGAGGAATCTGGAAAATAAGTGTCTCCAGGGGAGTAACTATGATAGCAAAAATTACTGAAACCTCAAGGTGCAAGAATTTGGGACTCTTTTTCTGGATAAAAAGACCTGTTTGTGGTCATGGGGCATGGTGCAGGAGGCTGTGGGAGAGGGAAATGTAAGGGAGGGGGCTGTGGGGAACTGCTTTCTTGTATTCGGATTTTGTTCAGGATCAATTTATGCAACATAGTTAGCTGCATTCTGTATAATACATGGGGGCAGAATGCATGCAGTGGGTAAAAAGGGGCAGGTTTTTATCTTAGTATGAGGAGATCTGATCCTCAGTGCCTAGCACAAAGGAGATATGCAATATATGTTCCTTGAATGAATTAAGCAATGGCTGGTTCATCACCTGTTTGAGCTGGAATGGGTGTGAGGAGGTTGTGAGTTTCCATGAGCAGATATTCAAGTTGAGCCTGAGAGAAGCTTAGCAGCTTGCTTTAGGCCAGGCTAATACTTC